AAACAAATGAAGACATTAAAACAGAATAAGAAATTATGAAACAGAATAGGCAGAAATAAAACAAGAACAGGTGGATAAGAACAAAATTAGAAATCTCAGAAATTAAAAATATATAGTCGTTGAAATATTGGAAATGACAGAAAAAATTCTAGACTAGACATGGTCAAAAAATGAATTTATGAATGCAAGCTACTTGCGGGGAACTCAGAATCAGTGCAGTAAGATAAAATAATAAAAATTATGAAAATCAGTTAAGAACCACGGAAGGCCACTTGAGAGAATCCAAAATTCGTCTAACAGAAATTTTTAAAGAAGAGAGTCAAAGGAGTGGAGGAAAAGCAATATAAGAAAGATAATTTGCCAATAATTTCTCAGAATTAAAGAAAGTCATAGATTCTCAGGTGGAAAGTACCATAGATTCTCAGTGCACCAAGAAGGGTAAAGAGAAATAAATTCACACCTAGACATGTCAAAGTGAAAAAGAAGAATGTTAATATTAAAAAACAGTCTTGAAACTTACCCAAGTTAAGTTACCGAAAACAATTAAATAATTGCAGATTCGCATCAGCAACTATGGATGTCAGAAAACAGTGAAAACAATTCTAAAAGTACACAGCAAAGTTTTCTTCAAACTAGAATTTATACCTACCCAAGCTATCATTCCAGAGAGAAGTCAAAATAAGGGCATATACAGATTAAGAGGGTTGCCCATGGGCTCTCACTAAAATAGCTATTCAAGGATTCACTTTAGTAAGGTAACATATGAAAATCCTGGAATACAATAAACAGGATAAGACAAAAATTCAAAAGCTGTGCAGGAAAATCAATTAGCCCCTAATCATCATCATCATCATCATCATCATCATCATCATCATCAAAATCATCATCACTGTTTTTCTTTTTGGCAAAAGTTTAATTTAAAAGTCTAAATAATAACTAGGTGTTCACAGGGCAGTGTTCAATAGGCAGTTATAGCATGCTAAGGCTCTTTTTGTGGCTGAAAGGATGACAGAAATTTTGAATAACTGTAGACTTTGTAAGAAAATGTATAGTCAAGTATATATCCAAAGGGTAACCAGTTAAAGGTGAGAAATAAAATCTACAGCATCTAAATCTGCAGATGGGTAAAAAAGCAGGTAATATACAAAATATAATCCTCAAAAAGGCAGGGCAAAAGAAAAAAAGGGGAAATGAATAGTAAACAGAAAGCACAAATATGGTGGTAGAAATATGTCCAAATATATTAGTACTTATAATAAATACAAATAGATTAAATTCACCTGTTGCAATACAGAGATTATTAGATTCTATTTTTAAAAAAAGATTATGCTTTCAAAAGATGACCTTAAATGGGAAAGGGAGAAGAATATCTCCCTACCAATTATAAAGACAGCATTAAAATTAAGATCTATTATAACTAAAACAGAGTAGAGTCACTGCAAAGTAAGATGGAAGACCAATGGAATAGCACAGAGAGCTCAGAAGCAGATTCTGTATAGGAAAATTGATAGATGACAGACATGTAATTGCTAATAAGGGGGAGAAAGGATGGACTAGTTGTTGTATGGTACTGAGATAATGGGTTATCCATATGTAGACAAAAAAATTAAACCCCTAACTCATATCATACACAACGATCAGTTCTAAATGAGATAAAGACCCATGTGTGACATAAAACTTGACAATTTTTAGAACACAGGAGAATATAATATCCAGATAGAGGAGGGTTTCTTAAATAAATCACAAAAGCAAAGCTCATAAAGCAAGAAGATTAATAAATTCAATTACATTAAAAGAAAAAACCTTCTATAAATCAAAAAACACAGCCATCATCTGGGAGAAGATATCTGCAATGCACATATAGTGACAGAGTATTGATATTCAGACTAATAAAGAACTACAAATCAATAAAAAGAAACAACCCAATAAAAATGGACAAAGGTTATGAAAAGTCAATTCACAAAAGCAGAAGCCAAAGTGGTCAATAAACATACAAAAAGATAACCGATTCCACCAGTAATCAGGGTAACACATATTACAAAAACAATGGGGCGCCATTTCATGCTTATCGTGATGACTGGTAAAAAGTCCTAAGTCTGACAATTCCAGTTGTTGAGGATTCAGGGAAATGTAAACTCTTATACTTTGCTGTAGGAAGAGTACATTTGTTCAACTACTTTAGAAAACAATTAGCCATTATGTGGTAAATTTGAAGATGCATATAATGAGCAATTCCTCTCCTAGCTATATGCCCCAGAGAAATTCTCATACTTATGACAGGGAGACACATTAAAAAATGCTCTTTTTAGCATTGTTTACAGTTGAAAAAAAACTGGCAATAACCTAAATTATGATCAATAGAACGTATAAAGAAATTGTGATGTAATCATATGCGGAATACCACACAGCAGTTAAAAGGAATGCACCAGAGCTACATGTAACTACATAGATGAATCTCTACAATATAATAATGAGTAGAAGAAAAGTCACAGAATGACATTTATAGTGTGACATCATTTATAGGACTTTGTCAAACAACACCAGTTATACCAGTTATATTTTTGGATACACATATATGGAAAAATGTTGAAATTATTACAGTGGTTACCTATAGGCTAAAGGGGAAAGATACAATCAGGTAGGAGTACAGAAAAGTCTCAACTAAATCTATATATTTTTAAATAGGGGACTCTGTGGCATAGATACGACATGATAAAGCCAAAGTGTTTGGTGCGGGGGGGGGGGAGGACAGTAAATGTTCATTATATTCTACTCTTTTCTGTATACTCAAAATTATTAATAATAAATAAATTAAGAGTTTAAAGAAGATAACACAGATTGTTAAGGCTTCCAAATTCTCAGCCAGCATTTCTGAAGGCTCCTAGTCTATGCGGAATGGCAGCATCAGACTGTAGTTCTGTGTTGAGGATGGTCTCAACAGCCTCAGGAGCCCCAACAAGGTAGCACCTCCCACCGGTAGCCCTAGAGAGGTAGTAAGCCCACTGGTAGTGCTGCAGCTTGCAGTGAAAGACAGCTAATAACAATCGGGGAAAGTACCTGGACATGGAATACAGTTGTCCAGATAACAATGGTCTAATGGTGCTTCCTAACCTTTGCAAGTCATGGATAACATTTGTCTGACACACTGGAGAAAAGGCTACCACCCTGGGGGCTCCAGCTGCCCCAGGTCCTACCTGTCCCTCTGAGAGCTGAGTGTGTCAACATCTCACAGTGTCTATCTCACAAAATCACATAAGTGTAGCCTACTTGCAGTACCCAGTGTGCCACAACCAACTTTTGGGAAGCTTTGGCCCAGAAGGTACTCTTCTCTCATGTAAAAGCAGGGAAAATTATACACCTGCACTTAACATTTTTCAATTCCACAGTTGGGCAAAAGGAGTGCACTGAGGGTCACAACTACTCTATTTGACTTTATGCAGTAGCAATTAGGAACAGAAAGAGCTGGCACAAAAGAACTGCAGTTAACAGAGTCTGAAAGTTTCCTTCTAAAGCAACTGAAGTCAGATCAAGAACTCTCTCCACTTCGTATGTTGGAATCCTATCAGGGTGTGACCACATGAGACTAGGATGTGAAAGCAGGCAATCTGGGTCAGCACACGTGGAGTAGAACAGGACACAATCACAAAGAAGAGCAACCCTTCACCAACACCTTCGTGGGGAGGGATTGGTAGGTCACACAACTGAGCCACTTTACTTACATTAGCCCATGATTTGGAATTTCTATATATATCAATCATATATGTTAAACATAGTTCATTCTATGGAATAGATTAAACATTTTCAAAGTAGTTCATCTTCGTCTTCTAAAGTCCCAAGCTCTATCAGGTGGAAATACAGTTAGGTCACCAGAACTGGGTGGATCCAACTTCCACTTGCAGTCACTGTCTTATATCTCAGTTACATGGACTGAAGACGAGTCTTTGCGCTAGGATAGTGCTTGCAGAGGACAATTTCTCAATCTCCTTGTATGTGAGCCAACCGGCCCCCAGATACAGCACGACAGGCTTGATGGAAGGCAGAGATGACATGGCACAGCCAAATTGGTCACTAAAATATTGAAATACCTCCTTTTTTATTGGTAGTTAGCCACTCCTAGAGCCCCTCAACCCTGCCATGTGACCCCTCTGCCACACCAAGCCCCTCCCCAGGACCCCATCTCCCCACAGTCCAGTAACCAACGTGTTAACGCCTAACAGCAGGGCGTCACCAGGGCTGTTAAATATTTTGAATATCACCAATGGATAAAGATGAATATCACCAATGGATGAAGCTCCACACCCACTCTTGAGTGCTCACTACCCTGCTGGCATCATCACCCCCTTGGATTCCAAGAGAGAGCAGCTTCTCTTGTTGGCCAGTTTTGCCTCAAGTTCCCAAACCAAAATAAAATGCCTTTCTGGTAAAACTAAACTTCTCAACTTCCTTCTAGGCTAGATGCCAAGCCTAGGAGACAGAAGGACCTTTTAATCCCAGGGCCACAGCTTTGTTGGGGGACTTGTCCTTCCCATAAAGGTGACAAGAGTCATCCTGACCCTCAGCATGGAAGACCAAATCTGGTCATTTCCCCAGACTGGCCCTTCCTCATGAACCATCATCACCCTTCATTCCATGCCACTCACCAGCCAGCTTCCCCATTCCCCATGATTTTAAAACTTATTTCTCAAGAGACCAGAACACTCCCTTGACATATGAGTCCACGGAGTGATTGGGGAGAACTCGGCCCCAGAATACACAGCAACATCAGAGCATCAGCCCCGCTATCTGCAGAGTCAAGAGGAGGCGGCACAGAGCTGGGAGGGAGAAAAGAAACTGCCTGCAGGGCAGAGGATGGGAGGGAAGGGTTGTTCATGATGGGTGGGAGTTGTGCTGTCCATTCAGGGAGTCAAAGGAGGCGGGCAGGAATTGCATTTGCATAGGAAACCAGGCATTGCTCTAGGACACAAGGGAAAAGCCAAAACAGAACAGCAGCACCTACTCACCAGGGCTGGTTATTGTCAGGAGGTCAAGCTGCCGCTGTTGCTGCAAAAGAAAACACATTGTGAGAGCACTGATTTGAGCCAGAGCCAACCTGGTGCTTAGCTGGTCAGGGTGGATGTGCAAAGGGAATGCTCAGTCACACAGAGCAGGGTACCATGTGGAAAAGGTGGTGCTCCCCCACAATTCTGCAGACAGGCCTAGCACCCTAGAGACAAAGGGACATGGAGGGCCTCTTTGTCTTGGATGGTTAGAGCTGAGAGGTCTTCCAGCCAAACCTATATTATACTTAGAGAAAATGAGGCCCTGAGAGGAATGTGGCTTACCTACAGCCACAAAGAAAGTCCCTTTCCAGACTCCCAGCCATGGGCTCATTCCTTTGTACCAGATGGCCTTAAATTTCTCTTTGCTCACACTGGCTGCACTGGGTAAGTCATATCCTGGCAACCTCTTTGCTTTGGGTCCTTAAGTCACTGTTACCCTCCTGAAACTTCTTTCTAACCAAGATACTCCTGGGCTGGTAAATTTATTGAATCTGCTCAACAATGCTATGTCAGTTTCAACTACTGATGATCAAAACATTCCTTCTCTTAACTGAATCCTCATCTCTTTGTATTACACAACATTCATGGAAAATAATATTTCTCGGGTATACTAGGCCATATAGATGAGGCTGCTTGTGTCTGGAGGCAACTTGCCTTGGGTACCCCAAGGGCTGAGGTGTTCAATATCTCAGGAGGCTTGCCCCCGTCACAGCATATTTATGAGAAAGCTCTGTCCTGCATTGGACGTCGTGGGAACGTGGAGGTGGAGAAGTCGGTACTGGAGGCGACGGTGGGGGGTGGGGCGTTGGGGAGGCAGGTAGTGGTGAACAACTCTCTTAAAGACTTAAGAGTCAGGATTCCTTAAGCCCCAGTCCATCTCTTTCTATTTCCTACACTTGATTTTCTATAAACAGTACTGGAAAACTATAATTTTTTTCTTAAAGGGAGTTCAAACAAACTCCATTTTGAGAACCACTGCTCCAGGATACACATTGCAGGATCTTTTGATTACCTGGTATTTCATCTAGTGGATTCATTTCACTTGCATTTCCCTCTTTATCTTGCCTCTCTCCAAGAATGGCTCCCTGAAATTCTGCTAAAGCAGAAAGGGGAAGGCAGCAACATTTTTTGAGTACTAACTATAGGCCAGACGCAGTACCAGGTGCTTTGATGTGCCATTTCTTTTCCTACTCTCAGCAATCCTATAGGGTTGGTAATGTATAAGGGTGGGAGATGAGATTCAAAGAGGAGAAATTATCTGCCCAAGACCACACCTTCACTAAACGGCAGGGCCAGGATTAGAATTCAGTCAGTTCTAATCCCGGCTTGAAAGCCCAAAATACAATGCACATAAATCGCTTAGCATGATACATACTTAATAGGTGCTCAATAAAAAGAGCTATTTTTTGTATTGATGTTTTGTTACTGATAGACCATGTGACTCTTGGTTTATAAAAACTGCCTCTTCCCTTTTCATAGAATTATGGATACCTAGAGCTCAAAGGTCAATGAGGCTGACCTGCCACCAGGACAGGAACCCCTCTGCAACATCCCCAGCAGTTGGAATGAACTGCTTCCGTTTTATCCTTCCTCTTGAGGGTGAGCTCACTACTTCTTATCAGTGGATAGCTCTACTCTGAGCAAGGTTAAAAGCCACTTCCTGGTGACAGCGTCACTGTTTCCAGCTGCCTCAGACCACGACAAGTGGCAGATCTGCAGATCTGTGTCTTCTTCTCTCTTGGTAAATATTCCCAGTTCCTTTGCCTTTTCCTCGTAAGACCTGGTGCAGATCTCCTTGGCCTTGTGGTCTCTCTCCTCCTCCATTTAACTTTGAACTGTCCCCAGTCAAAACCTCTTAAAGATCTCTCTTACCCCTTGCTTCAGTGACTTCTCATGGGCCTAAAACCAAACTGTATCCTTTCAGAGCCTTCTCACTCACACATCCCTGTTTTCCTGCCAGCTCACAACTCATTCCAGTTGTCATTTTCAAGAAAACAATGCAATTCCAAGATGTCACTGACCTACATTGTGAACGCACATCCTCGCTGCTGAAATGAAACACACACCCACACACGCGGGCTAGAAGGAATGCTGGAGCCAGATTGCCTTCCTTCCCAAACACAGAACCAGGCCAGTCGTGCAACTGGCTCAAGCTGCCTTTGCCAAGGCCCACCTGTGTGGCTTGGCACTTCCCTCATGCAAGAGGAAAGAATACGATGCGTCCTTCTATTTTTCCATGGGCTTGACTTTGTGATAACTGTAGTTGGTAAAGGAGGTCTATTTATCTGAAAAGTGTCTATTTCCTCATTAAGAGCTAACTCTAAAGGGTAATTCTGTGTCCAGGGTCCAGTAGGGAAAGAAGGGAGGAGAACCTGACAGGAGTCAGACAGACCTGGGCTGTGTCCTGGCTCCTCTGTGTGACTTTGGATAACTTACTGTATGGCCCTGGCCTCAAACTTCACACCTCTAAAATGAGTGGGACTGAAGTACCTTCAGTGACCGTGAGTCAAATGCAGCCAGGTACTGTGCTTGTGGGCGCCCTCTTCTGGTGAAAGAGTTCTCAGAGAAACCCTATAGCCGGGACACTGGGGACTCAAAGGACAGAGTCAGAATTTAAAAGGGACCAAATTTTAAGCTCTTCTCTCACATTGCAATTTTCAGTGCATGTGTGTCTTCCTCACTAGTTAAGGAGCCTTTTAAGAGCATCTTAAGGGTCTATTATTCAGTCCGTGGCATAGAGCAGCCCTCAGTAAACATTTGCTAAACTCACCCGAACCATTCCTGGAATCCACATTATCCTTTCAAACCCCTATGCCTTTGTCAAACCCCCATGCCTTTGCTCATGCTGTCCTCTCTCGTCACTTGTCCAGACCTCCATGAGGGCTTCTCTGCACGCCCACTCCCAAATCTAACCCCCTTCTCTCCCTTCCTTAGAGCAGGATGAGTAAAAACTACCTTTTGTATCATGCTCTTTTTTTTTTTTTAAAGATTTGCACCTGAGCTAACAACTGTTGCCAATCTTATTTTTTTCCCTCCTCTTCTCCCCAAAGCCTCCCCAGCACATATAGTATATTCTAGTTGTAGGCCCTTCTGGCAGTGCTATATGGGACGCTGCCTCAACATGGCCTGATGAGCAGTGCCATGTCCGTGCCTAGGATCCGAACCGGCAAAACCCTGGGCTGCCGAAGCAGAGTGCACGAACTTAACCACTCGGCTACCGGGCTGGCCCTATCATGCTCTGTCTAATTGTCTGTTTCCTTCTCTGTTTCTCACAAAGTCCTTACTCAAGGACAAGACTATGCCATTTCATCCCTATATTTCCAGTGCCCAGCACAAAGGCCTGGAAGGAATGTTTGATGTCATCTAGTTCAAGTGATTTAACTACTCTGTTATTCCCTGTTAGGAAGGTATTCATCAAACAGCGTTGGAAGTAAGCCTGTCCCTTCCTCTCTAGGACTTTTCCTCTGCCGCATATTTGGGGTTTCTTGCCTTTATGATTTTGCTCCCACCATCTCTGCAGCCAGTAAAACTGTCTACCCACCTCATCTGGGAGACCTTTCTTCTTTTACTCCCACCCACAGGATCAGTGTCTCTCCTCGACTCCTACAGCTCCTATTGTCTGTGCCACTCCTGTGATGCTGAGTTAAATCTAACTTGGTGACAAGCCCATTTAACCTACAGTTCACTGACATATGTGTGCACCACCTAGTGGCCCCAGCAGATAAGTGTAGGCTATCGTTTTAACCTGTAGCTCTTAAGATATGATTGCAAAATCTGCACGTTCTACATGCAAATAAAAACAAAGCGCTCAAGAATCACTGTGCAACAATTTGTACCTAAAAAACTGGAATATCCCAATGATTCCCTCAAAGTCCTTCAAAAATAACAAGAATGAAATGAAACGGAAAGTTTTCATTACTAACTAGTCTAGCTAGTCTAATCGTTTGGGATTCCAACGGAAACTGTATGGCATTTGTAAAAATAGGGCACATGATTTGTGGAATTTGACCAATAATGTACAGTAAGTTTTATATAGAGGGGGGCATGTTGGACATAAAGAATTACCAAGTTATTATAATTAGTTACCAACTGAGAGAGAGGAGTGCCTTTTATATGGAGATGATATATGATCTAACTGCCTGGATGGCAGAATACACAGTGTCAGCCGGAGGAAATGAGGTGAGCAAGCCAGGCAGCAGGTTCGGTAGGCTGACAGGGCCTGCTGGCTGCGGGGTGAGTAGTTGAACCACTAGCTGACCACAAGCTACAGTCTAAGGAAGGCAGGACCTTCACATATGTGGTAGCGGTTGTGTGTGTGTGTGTGTGTTTTGCAGAGTTAGGGAGAATGTTCCTCTTCAGGTAAAGGAATTCCATACCCAGACAGAGGGAAATGTGTCCAAGTGTGCCTGTATGGTATTCCATGGACTCTCGGAGGAGTGTGGGTAGGCCAGCATTGGGTCAATTAGGAGTTGATGTGTGGACTCCTGGCTGTGTAAGAGCCCTGAATTCAGCCTTCCCTGATAAAAGTGGTACCCCATAGACATTTAGAGGAAACCTACGTCTATGCTTAACCACCACGGGGTGAATGCTGAGTCATGACTTCATAAAGACCATAGGGGATGGGAATTCCAAAGTCAACAGGAGCAATCTCTGAATTTGGTGTCAGCTAGGGATGGCCAGGGCATCTATGGCAGATACTTAAGGAATTGTCTACCAGCATCCTCGCTCCGAGAGTTATCCATATTTCCCTGAATCTTGTCTTTACGCCCCTGATCTTCCCCATCACAGCACCATCACATTGCATTTCCCTGGCTTGTTTACTCCTCCATCCTCTCCACTGGTTGTGTGAGCTCCTTGAGGGCAGGACTTGCGTCAGCATTGCTTTTCTCCTCCCAGGGCTAGCCCAGTGCCTGACAAATGGATGATGCTCAGTGAAGATGTGCCAATCTCCTCTTAACAAGATGACAACTAGACAGGGCCCTACTGAACTGGTCATCAGAA